AATGTGACTCCTTAGGAAATAAAAATAAATGAAAATGCAAGTTGCAGCAAAAGTGAAATTAAGACCAAAGCTTCATGGAAGCTGGAGTTGTGCAGTCAACATAATTATATTTTTTATCTTAATGATATGGGGAAAAAGGAAACAAAACATTCAATTTGAGAAATCTGCTGTTAAATATTTTGCACAATGTTTGCTCTATCATTTGTTGCCCCCTCAGATTTATTTTCATTTCGTTCATTTTATTTTTAATTCATTTTTTCATTAAAAAAAAGATAGTTTTTCACTTTCACACACAATTTCTTTTCGGTTTACTGTTACATGGGCTTGATCTTCCATATTAGTTTTCTAATCAGTCCAACCTTCTTAATGAAGTGACCCTGGAAGGTGACGTCTTGGCTCATTCTGTGAGGCCCTGCCACTGGGGCGATGTTGGCCAGTCTCTGTGTCTCATGGATGACAGCATCAGTGAAGGGCAGGTTCTTCCTGTCCTCGCTCTGCACCTGACGACTCCCTATCACCCTGTTCACCTCCTCCTGGACCTGATCTGGGACATGAAGTGTTGTTTTTATAAAAAATGATTTTTGTGTTGGTGAAGCACATATTGTTTCTGGGACTGATGGACTGTCGCTCTATGAAAGCTGCTGATGTTCTGAACTTGTTACCTTGTATTTTTGGATACTTGGCCATTAGCAGAAGTCCCCATCTCAGTGTGGTTGCTGATGTTTCAGTGCCCGCAATAAACAAATTGCGGACTGTTGTCATAAGGTTTACATCATTGAAGTGACTGTTGGTAATCCCAGATGACTGTGGGTAAAAATGAATCAGTGCAGTTACTCAAACAAATCTGATACAAAAGTCTGATACTGTTACATTTGTTTACCGATTACTCTGCTTTTGGCCTGAGAAGGGTGTAGACAGACAAACATGACACCTTGACCAACCATGACAAGTAACAGAGTGAAGGAATGAAGACCTGATCCCTCACAGGCTTCCCATTACACCCTCAGCATTTTAGCAAACTAGCAAGTCAGAAGCTAATGCAATAAGCTTGGGCTCAAAAAACAGAGTAGTGCAAACACTCAAACTGCTTTTTCAAAATTCAAGCAGTCATGTAATAAACAGTGAAAAATACAAGCCTTGAAGATACATATCAGTATATTGTCACGACATTTGAATGTGCATGGAGGAAGTTAACCAGACAAC